ACCCAGGATTCCTATCTGGATATTGCATTCAGGCCAGCAGGGAATCCCTGGGAAGCCATCCCTGAGATGCAAGATGTCTAAGGAGAGGGAGCACACTTTGGATTTGGAATTGAGCTAAACTGGGATTTGGAATTGAGCTAAACTCTACCCAAAGGTTTAGGAAGAACTATAGCCCCAAGGTGTTGGCAACTTGAGAAATGTTTGTATATCTGTTCTTGCTATGCATTTGAAGTAAATATTTCTTTGTAAAAGCTAATCTAAGAGTTTATATGGAACTGGAGTGCTTAGAATCTCCCCAAATTGAAGGGAATGTAATTAGTGGGGTTTCATGCAGTGGCAGAGATAGGGAATACCCATCTAACCCTCTAAGCATACAGGCCAACTCTGAGGAAGGGGCAATGGGAGCCAGAGTAATCATTGTCATATGTGGCATAAAATTGTGGGAATCCTTGGAGAGATTTCCTGTCTGGGACTTTAAATTTTAGATACCCTACTTTGCAAGATCCTAAAGAAACTGGCAAGTCTATTTTAAGGATATCAGTTTTACAGTTGATGTTTTTTTCCAGTGTGTGTTTCCTTACAAGTCTATTGGTGTTCCACTGATGTATTTTGGCAAATTTTATATTTACTGATTCCTTGAGTGTTTAGATATTTTAGATAGTATTACTGAATTTTGCATAAGTATTGATATTAAGTTTTAATATTAAAAGTGTGCAGCCTATATCACCAGAATGTCCTACCTAGTTGACACTTTCTTCTTCTCTCTTCTTCTTCTTCTTCTTCTTCTTCTTCTTCTTATTATTATTATTATTATTATTATTATTATTATTATTATTATTACCTAAACATACCTAGGCTGCTTGTCTTATGGTGAAAGTGTTTTCCCTATAACTTCTTAGGGTAAGGATGCCTATTCAGTAAGACACTTGTTGAATACTAAGCAAGCAGTAATTCTTGGTAAACTGTATAAAATATTCCTTGTTTGTTGAATCTGCAAAACTTTGTATTTTGGATAATTGTTTTTTTCATCCATACATGTGGGACTTTATATGATCATGCAACATCGACTGCTTTGAGACTCATATAGAGGAATGTGTTGGAGTCAGCTTGAACTGGTTTGGGAGAATCAATAGTTAAATTTTCAGTGTGAGCATTTACACCTTGGAAATTGTCAAGCACTACAAATTAGGGCTTGGTTTATTGTTTTGTTGATTTCTAGACTTAACAAAATGTCAATAATGCAAATTAAACTTACAACTATGTGCCATACATTAAAAATTTTTTTTTCAGTGAGCTGGTTGTTAAACATTGACCATCACACTCCTGCCTATATAGCACTGAAGAAGCAAATGAAAGGACAGTGCTTTTGTCTCCACCATGACTGTTGTCAACAGTGATCAACAAAAGACTGTTTTCAATTGGGTAAATGGGCAGCATATTCAAAAAGCACCCCCACCTATTTTCCAAGGATGGCAAATTTCATAAATGGGGAGAGAATCTAATGAGAGCTTGGCACATGCTCAGACCACCTAAGATGGAGATACCCAAGTAGGGGATGTTTGGGACCTGCTTCTGAGAAACAGTATTGACACAGGCATGGACATTCTATGTTGGTTTGCCATATAATTGGGAGCAGCCTCCTTCCATAAGCCAGAAGTGCTTATATCTTTAAAGCAATGTGACTGAGGCACTCTCTTTTTGGTGGCTATTTCTAGGAGAGAAGGATCCATTCACTTACATCAAGGGTACCATGCAGTAAGCCCAAGGGGAAGTACCTGAAGACCACTTTCTGCTCCCCCAGGAGCTGTGGCCCCAAGAAATGGGTTGGCAGTTTTGACCTCTTTTATCTTTTTCAGTTCTAAGTAGGGGGAATGAGCCCTCACTCCAAGAGCTCAAGCCATAGGGACCTTGGAGCGCAGGATTCTAGGCTAGATGTTTCAACCAGCCCAGCAGGGAAGCTCTGAGAAACCAGGTGCTGAGATGAAAGCCCAGAAGAAGCTTTGGACTTGGAACTTAATGGGACTAATGCTATGTAGCACTGAGTTAAACTGGAATCCCCTTCTCCTGTCCAAAGACAGGTGGTGTGTAGGAAATTTAGAGGGGAGAAAATGTATGTTTGTTCTTGCTACACCTTTGAAGTAAATATTCCTTTGTAAAAGAGATAATAATAATAATAATAATAATAATAATAATAATAATAATATATTGGGAGAAGATGCCATTTGCAGAGACAACAAACTGTTATCTAACTCCCTTGGTAAACCATTAGAAGTATTATTTTTTAATATGATTTATAATCAGCAAACCCTTGGAGGTTTCTGGACATAAAAAGATAATCTAGGTGACTAGCACTGAAAAAACAATGCCCATTGTTAAGAACATATAGGCAGTGCCAAGAACAACTTTTTACCAAACCCTGCCCAGCTATTCATATAAGCTGTTGAAGCCTAGTTCAGGATCTTTTGCTAGATTAATGATTGGTAATACCATAAAGATGACTAAGAGAGGAGGAGATTAAGGTAACTGTGGTTTACAATAGCTGTGGTTCTGTCTTTGTGAGAAACCATGTTTCCCAAAAAGGAGTAGAATGAAAATAAAAGAAATACAGGGGAATAATTTTGATTAGGATATCTTTAGTTGTTGAACAATATCCTCACCCCTGTCTTACATGTGGTAGTCTTTGGAATGTTTGAAAGATGGGGAAAAGAGGGGGCAGCTAGGTGGTACAGTGGCTACAGCACCAGCCCTGGATTCAGGAGGACCTGAGTTCAAATCTGGCCTCAGACACATAACACTTACTAGCTGTGTGACCCTGGGCAAGTCACTTAACCCCATTGCCTAGCCAAAAAAAAAAAGATGGGGAAAAGATACAACATAGAGACATCCATCTATTCCCTAAGCCCCAAAGGACCCGTTCCTAAGATAGGATGAACCTTTTTCCCTAGGATTTTTCCTAGTAAACAAGTACCATAGGCCTTAAACCTAGATGGGACTTTTGAAATCAAGGTTCAGTGGACAGAGTTCTGGGCCTGGAGTCAGGAAGACGGATCTTAGGGGCAGCTAGGTGGTGCAGTGGATAGAGCACTGGCCCTTGAGTCAGGAGGACCTGAGTTCAAATCTTGGCCTCACACACTTACCAGCTGTGTGACCCTGAGCAAGTCACATAACCCCAATTGTCTCTCTCTCTCTCTCTCTCTCACACACACACACACACACACACACACACACACACAGAAGCAGAAAGACTGATCTTTCTGAGTTCAAATTTGGCCTCAAACCTTAAAACACTTGGTAAATCTTAGTCATTATTATTGTTGTCATTGTTATTACTATTGTTGTTACGTACCTCCCAAATCTCATCTTTAAAATGAGAGGTTTTATAGATCATCTCTAATGTCCTTGTTCACTCAAACATTCTATGAGTCAAAATGATGGGATGGAAAGAACACCGGACCGAGTCCCACAGGGCCGGTTTTGGAATCACCAAAGTACTACCTGCTATGTGCATGATCTTGAGCAATCACTCCCCATCACTAGTCCTCATTTTTTTCATCTGTAAATGAAGACATTTGGGCCAATTAGTCTCTAAAGTTCCTGTCACACCTCCTCCCTTGCATTCCTATAAATCTGCATCTCCAAATGCAGTATCGGCAGATTGTGGGTGGGGTAGGGAGACAGAGAGTAGCAAGAGGGACCTAGACACATTATCTTATTAGAACAGAATGATACTAAACAAGAACCTCTAGATCGAGGGATTACCATTTCCCACCTGAAGCAGCTAGGCAGCACGGCCGACAGACTGCTGGGTCTAGACTCAGGAATATTTGAATTCAAATCCTGCCTCAGATATTTGTTATCTGTATGACCCTAGGCAAGTCACAACCTCTATCGGCCTCAGTTTTTTCCAGTGTAAAATAGAGATAATAACAGCACCATGTTGTAAAGACCCAAAGAGATAATATTTGTGAAGCACTTAACACAGTGCCTCGCACATAGCAAGTACTTAATAAATGCTTTTTTCCTTCCTTCCCTGACATAGTAAATAGACTGTCCTTCATTACTAGCCTTTGAGAAGCTGCCACTGTTTGTCATTTAAGGTCATATAAGTCATTATATAAGTCCTTTTGACTGGAAGTTGTTCAGGACACATGACTGTTGAAGCAGCCCTTACGGTTCTGCTAAGGAGAATAGTCTGGTGTTTAGCGACAGGGGCTCGGGACTCAGCCTCACGACCACAGCCCACAGTCGTGTTGGGTTCCACTCTCAGTTACCCAGGGACATGAGACCCAGTATGGTCTGTCTGGAAGGTTGGAATTGTAGGGGCCTATAGCTTTCTGTGTGTACCCTAAGGAAAGCTGGCTTCTCTGGAAAGCCTCCAATAATCTTATTTTTCTATGGGCTGCAAGAGCGGACTCAGTGAGAGATCCAGAGAGAAGAGACTCAAATAATCCCCTGAAATTATACTAGAAGCACTGATGTTAGACTGACTTTAAGCTGAGTTTAGTAGTACATCAGCAGGGGGTACTTCCTTCATTCCCAATAAGGGAATCTGTCAATGAATATAAGAATCATAGAACATCCACACGCGTACACACACATGTGTGTATACACACACATATGACAAACTTCCCTCAGGGCATCCTATACTCAAATAATCAGGTGGCAGGCTTCCGGTGATAAATTTGTGCTTTTGTTACATCCACAGTACTTCTGGGGCCTCCAGAGCTGATTATTGCCAGGACACAAAAAACTGACTGTAAAGTTTATCATGAGTCCCCTGGGAAACATGGATGGGCCTTATGACCTAAGCCTTAGCAGTTCATTTGGAATGGGGAGGTAGCTAGCCAGGGAGGCTTAAGGTTTGTGAGTATTGAGGTTAAGGGAAGAGAAAAATAAATAACCCTACTTGTCCCAAATATAGCTGGTGCCTCACAGTTACAAATTAAAGTCTTTTATAACACAGAGAGAAATTCAGTCATGCCAAGATCTCTAACAGAATATTGAGGTTATATTGCTCTTTTAATATATGATTCTAACTCACTAAAGTAATTTCCAGGCTTGGGAAGAGGAAAAAAGGAAATTTAGTCTGGTCACTTGATCCTATCCTAATTCAGATTGAAACTGATGGGGTCCAAATCTTTCCACTGTCCTAACTCCAAAGTTAATGAAGGCCTCCCACTGCAACTGGTTTTCTTTGGCTACTAAGAAGAACCAGCGTTCTGGCACTTGTCTCATTGTAGTAAAGACGGAATGAGCTTAGAAGCTAGCAGATCTATAGTCTATGCTTGGCTAAACCACCACTAACTAACCTTTTGACCACTCTGGGCCTCAGGTTCTCCATCATTCAAATGAGAATAGTAATATTCCTTGGGTTCATGGTGTAATGGGAAAAGGTTTACACTTAAAGTCAAGACAGACCAGGATTCAAAATCTGCCTCCAACAACTATTTGTGTGACCATGGACTTTCTCTCAGCTTCAGTTTCCTCAGCCATAAAATAGGAATGGGAATGATGCCTACTGAGTCGTTATGAAGCTCAGAAAGTGCTTAGTAAAAACTTTAGACACAACATAGTCTGCTAACGGTGGTATCAAACTCAAATAGAAACGAGGGCCATTATATCATTAAAAAAGAATCCTGCAGGCCTCATACTGACTTAGTTTTAGAGTGTACTATTATCTATGTTTTATTGTATTCTTATTTATTTTATTAAATATTTCCCAATTACATTTTAATCTAGTTTTGTCCACACTCAGGAGTGTTACAGGTTACATGTGGCCCATGGGCCTAGTATGTGACATCTCTGGTACATTAGTGTTATTGGGGGTATTATGACAATCACATGATGAAATGACATATTAAAAAATGTTTTGGAAAGAAGATGTGACATATACATATGAAGGTATCACTATTCATCCTTTCTCCTGTCAAGAGGATAGGAAAAAGAAGATTTAACCCTTCCACAACTATACAAGGAGGATATAGGGGATGTTAGGGGATATAACCCAGCTCTTTTGCAGACTTTGTTTCTCTTCCTTTAGGGTCAAAGTATGCAAAGCCATGAACTAGTTATAGGAGAATAAGCAAAGGATTTTAGGGAATAGGGCCCAGGACAGTTCCCATCTTTCACTAGCAGACAACAAGAAAGTGGGAATTTTGGCTGAGGGTAAAGCCAGCAGGATGGGTCTTACCCATCAAAGTGCACAGGCTCTGAATTCTCACAGGCAATGACAACATGCCTGGTTCTGGCCATGGCCCGGTACCTACAGTTTGGAGAAGTAGAGCCACCTGTCACTCTGCAATCTGTGATCTTCATGATGCCTTCATGGCAGTTCATTTGGCCATTCTTGCATTTGATGGCAGTGGTATGGCAGATACTGTTGATGTTCCAAATGTCCTCATGGATGAAAGTGTTAACAGGCTTGCACTTTTGCACAGTCATCCGCCTCTTATGCATCATCTGGGTGCAATACGTAGCATCACCACCTTCACTGTAAGGGTCCACATGCTGTCGCAGGAACTGTTGGTACCTCCGACTCTGGCCAGAAGAGGGCTGCACCAGCCACAGGCCAAGCAAGGCCAACAGCAGCAGCAATGATCGGATTCCCTGCATGGCCATTATCTTCTGCCTATCTAGGGGCCCCTAAAAAGAGAACAAAGCAAGAGGCAGGAGAGTAGAATGTAAGGATGGAGGATGAACTGCCCATCCCTTACCAAAAGATAAAATATCCCTATTCTATACTTCCGTATTCAACTTCTCCCCTCTCACATACCAAGTTCTTCTTTAGGCTTTCATTTCCTAGGTGTTCTAGATCACTGGTTCTTTTTTCTTTTTTTAAGTGAGGCAATTGGGGTTGCCCAGAGTCACACAGCTAGGAAATATTATGTGTCTGAGGCCGGATTTGAACTCAGGTCCTCCTGACTCCAGGGCCGATGCTCTATCCACTGTGCCACCTAGCTGCCCCAAGACCAGTGGTTCTTAACCAGGGATCAGTAACCATAGGTTTCAAGTCCTCCATGAACTTGAATGGAAAAACAGTTACATCTTTATTTCAGTATCATTTTTCTTTTATTACTCTACATATTTTATTTAATGCATTTTAAAAATTATTCTGAGAAGGGGTTCATAGGCTTCCCTGCCACAAAAGGAACCTCATAACACACATAAAAGTTAAGAATTCCTAGTCTAGGTCATCTTTAAGGTTGTTTTCCTCTCTCATCAATCAACAAACGTGTATTAAATGCTAACTCTGTACCAGGCATTATGCTAAGAGCTGAGAATATGAAGAGGTAAAAAACACAGTCACTTCCCTCAGGGAGCTCATATTCTACTAATCTCTAATACTCCGTTATCCTGTGAATCTCCATCAGCTACCTCCCCTATTCACAGATATTGCTATTCTTGCTTCTCTTTTTCACAGCATCGTTCCCAAAATGATTCAGTTTCCAAACACTCTTTTCATCCAAAGGCAGAGTTTCATTTAGGAGAAGTTAAGTACTAACGGTCCTACAATGATCTAGGTCTGGGAGCAAGGCTCCAGTTTACCTTTGTTTGTTGAAATTGCTGCAGATGACCCTGATAAAACCTCCTGGTCAGGTCCTGAAAAAAAAAAGCATCATGTGTGACTAAAAGATAGACATACGTAATACCTTTATGAAACCGAAAGGCTACTTGGCTGGTTCTTGTATATGTAACTACTCCTTGACTACTGTGTTCTTTAGGGAGTACTTAATTCCTTACAATCTCCTAGTTCCAAGAATTGGAGTGGATTAATAGCTCACAAAGTATAGGCATGTTGAGTTTTCACAGTCACACAAATTTTTATCTTGTTATGAGTGACGGACTTAATTGAAGTTCAAAGCAGAGATGGAGTATAAAAAGACAATAAAGCCAAATTTTGATTTCAGTTTTCTTTTTCCTTTGATATCCTCTCAAAGGCAATAAAAAACAGGCCCTTTGTAAATCTTGTTAATCAGTGTGGTCTGTATACACGTGTGCATACACACACATACACACACACACACACACACACACACACACACACACACACTATCCCAACATAGTGCCTTGCATATGGCAATGATTGAGCAATCCTTATTGAATGAAGAAATTAAGGAATGAACAATGTGGGTAATAATATTGAAAGTACCTCTTATGCCAGCAATGGCACTAAATAAGAGGAGAATTTCAAGATGAATTGTGGTAATACAATCTGCTAAGTAATAACTAGCATTTACATAGCACTTTGAGGTTTTCAAAGCACTTTACATACATTAATTAATTTGATCCTCACAACAGTCCTGTGATGTAAATGCTATTATTATCCCCAATTTACAGAGAGGAAATTGAGACTAGGAAAGATACAACTTTCCCAGGGATATATGGTTAGTAAGTATCTGAGGCAAGATTTGAACTCAGGCCTTCCTAAATTAAAGTACTACACTCTATCCACTGTGCCATCTATCTGCCTATCAATGCTAGCTGCCTAAGAAAGAACTGAAACAGCTTTTCTTATCAACTCCTCAGGTAAGAAGCTGTCAGACTTTCTGATGATGATAAAGAGTCATACTTCATGGTCCCCATCTGCCTCTTCATGTACTTTCAAGAATCCTATTTTTTTTTTAACTTTTTCTGCTCTCATCCCTTCCCACTTCTATATCTGAACTCATTCTCCCAATACTGGTATTTGCTTTTGTACCTTAATCTCCACACATTGAGGAAAACAGTGACATTCATTCTTAAAGCTCAAAACCTCATTTGGTTTCCAAAACAAATTTGTGAGCTAGGCAAAGCAGACAGCACCACCATTTTTCACCAATGTGGAAATGGAAGCTCAGAAAAGAAAAGTGACTTAGGTCTAAAGTAACACAAATAGCAATGCCCAGAGAGGCTTATGACTCCAATTCAATAATAATAACAGCACTTCTATTCCACTTTAAGGTTTATAAAGTACTTTGCAAATATTATCTCATCTTATCCTCACAACAACCCTGGAAGGTAAGTGTCATTATTATCCCCAATGAGGAAACTGAGGCAAGCAATGGTTAAGTGACTTGTAGAGAGTCCCAACTGGTAACTTCAGGCAGTTCAAATGTTAGGCAGGATTGGAACTCAGGTCTTCCTGACTCCAGTCCAGTACTCTATTACCACCTAGAAGCCTCTTCAGGGCATTATTTTGTTCTGAGTTTTCAGTAACAGTTACATTTATATTTCCCTATCCACTGTCTCTTATCCTAGACCTTTTTAAACTAATAATAATAATAATAGCTAACATTTACATAATTAGGGCAACTAGATGGTGGGAAGGGATGGGGCTGGAGTAGGAAAGACTCATCTTCATGAATTCAAATCCCACCTCAGACACTTACTAGTTGTGTGACACTGGGCAAAGCACTTAATCCTTTTGTCTCAGTTTCTTCATGGGTAAAATGAGCTGGAGAAGGAAATGGCAAACCACTCCAGTATCTTTGCCAAGAAAACCCCAAATGCGGTCGTGGAGAGTCAGACATGACTGAAATGACTGCACAACAGCATTTATATAGCACTTACTAAGTGCCAGATGTTATGCTAAACACTTTGCAATCATTATCTTATTTGATCTTCACAATAATCCTATAAGGTAGATACTATTATTATCCTCATTTTTACAAATGAGGAAACTAAGGCAAAAAAGTTAAGTGACTTGCCCAGGGTATAGCATAGTATAATACAGTATAGTGTCTAAGGCTGAATTTGAATTCAGGTCTATCTCACCCCAGACTCTAGGCCTGGTGCTCTATTCACTATACCACTTAGCTACCTCATGCCTTTTTGTGACACCTGACCATGAAGAAGACCTAGCTGGTGCATATGAAGATAAAATCCATAATCTTGGGCCTTTTGTTAACTCACCACAAAAAAAAATGGTACTTAAGATGAGGAGAAATCCCATTTTGGGGAGGAATGGGATCAATGTCCATTTCCAGCCTGGAATTTCAAAGGGAAGTAACTGGAAATCAAGAGTAGATTAAGAAAAAGTGGTACAACTCAGTTAAAAGGGATTATCCTTATGCTCAGTAATGATTTATAATGCAGTAAAATAAAATAGAGCGATGGGGCCTCCCAAATGATCTGTACCTTGGGCCATCTTCCAGATTTCATATTAATCTGCCTCTGACTGAAATTCTGGAAATTGGTCCCAAGACCACCGCAAAGTATGCCTGTCATCAAACCTTAGCCTAGGCCTGTCTTCACTAGACCTCACTGCCCCTCAATTAAAAAAAGAAAGTTTTAGCCTTAGGTGGCAAAAACACATCATTTCTTCCCTCTCTTATATCTGAATAAAATTACTAGTGAGTCTGCTTAAAAAAAACTTGCATCAAAATGCTTTCTCTATTCAAAGCCTATAGTATGTTAGAGCTGAAAAGAGCCTAGGAGATTATATAGTTGGTTGGTCAGTTGTTGTCCTTCATTATTGAAGAGGACCCAAATGACACTACTATGTTGGAGTCAAGGTACAATGTGTCCAGTGCGACTGATCAGACCAATATGACCTTGGAAGGCTCTACCACAGGTCAGGCAAAAATATCCCATATGAACATTTGGAGTGGAGATGTCTTTAAATTTTTGAATCTTACATTTCTTTTGAGCTACTGCAATTCTACTTTGTTCATAGAACACAGTGCCCTCTTTGATGCAGGTCCACCATGCTGGGTGGTCCTATGCCAGTGTCTCCCATGTCTCATAATTGATTCCAAAGTTCTTCATAAAGACCTTGAAAGTGTCCTTGTATTGCTTCTTTCAACCTCCATGTGAGCACTTGTCTTGTGTGAGTTCTCCATAAAATAGTCTTTTGGGCAAACATATGTTTGGCATTTGAACAACATGGCCATCCCATCAGTTATGCTCTCTGGAGTAGAGTTTGAATGCTTGGCAGGTCAGCTCCAGAAAGGACCTTAATGTTTGGAAACTTATCTGTCCAGGTGATCTGGAATTGATTCTGTTTCCTGGCATGGCCCTGGTATACTATCCAGGTTTCACAGGCATACAACAATGAGGTCAGCACAATGGCTCTGTAGACCTTCAGTTTGGTAGGCAATCTAATACCTCTTCTCTCCCACACTTTCCTTTGGAGTGTTCCAAACACTGAACTAGCTCTGGCACTGTGTGCATCAACTTCATCATCTATGTGTACATCTCTAGAAAGTATACTGCTAAGGTAAATGAACTTATCCACAGCATTCAAAATTCCTCCATTTTCTAAAACCAGTGTTTCCACATGGTATAGTACTAGCTGGTGAAAAACCTCTGTTTTCTTGTTAATTATTGAGCCAAAATTAGCACAAGCAGCAGAGAATCAATCCATACTTTGTTGCATTTCGTCCTCAGGATACATTCACTGTGCAATCATTATGGCCATTATGAGCCTTGGAAATTATATAGCAAAGGCCTCTTGTATTTCACAAAGCCCCTGTTTTCTGGAACATGAGAAAGACATTTATGTAAGTTGTGATTTTTTCCAGCTATGAACGATGCTCCTAAGGATATATCTCCTGTCAACTTTGCATACAATCTCCTTTCTTGAGCTCATTCTTTTTCAAGTAATTTAATATCTTGGAATCCTCTGTTCTCATTGCAGGGCCAGGAAGGCACAGCAAAACTGTGATAAGAAGGATTTTGATAACTTCCATGACTCTGGTCTAATATACAATCACTTGAGCTGCTAAATTGGCATATCACTGTGTATAGAGCATTTGGTTATGTAAAATTGAACATTCCAACTGAATGTGTCCTGTAGCTGAGTGTCCTCAAGATAGCTACCTTCCATTTAGCCCCTTAAGTAGACAAAGAAGTACTTCCATCCCATGACAAAAACTACTTATGAATCTCCAGTGTGTCACCAAATAGATCGAAGTTATTAATGTCATAAGTGGGCTATTTGAGGTGGTCGAGAGACATTAAAGCTAGAGTGATTTTAATATGGGAATAAACACGTATCTGTTTTTCCCTTTTTAATGACCTATATATCTTGTTCTTTCTGTCTTTGACAATAGCAATGGCCTATATAATACCAACTGAGTCCCAAATCAGGGAGATAGCAATGAATGAAAATGTTCTAGAATTTGACCGTGATATAATTCTTCTTTGAGAGATTTTTGCTACCATCCCTGATGGTGAAGGTTTGCATAATAGTAGATTTCCTAACATTCAACATTTAGAAAGCCTCTTCTTTCTGCTCTCTCAGGAAGCTAATGGGTTTCAACAGAATCCATGCTTCTAAGGAACTAGAGATGAGAAGATTCTTAGAATTTCAAAAAACATTAAGTCATTTCTCTATCTTCCACAATCAATTTGAGGTCTGTCAATAGGGCAGGGCTATCACAGAGATCTCTTGGGCAGTTTCTCAGCAGCCTATGGGGATATTCTTCTTGTGTCATCCAAGGTTATGCGATGAGCAATGTCCTCACTCACCCAAATTCTTTGCCTACTAATCTAGAACTATGGGGATTTTTTCAAACTGTTTTGATAAGGGTATCCAATCAACACTAACTTCAGAGAGAATTATAAGGTTCACATATCAACAATTGCTAGAAGATACTGATAAAAGGGTACAGAGTAAAAAAAGAGGTTTCCATATTGCTGGTTTCCCTCTAAGGAAACAGGTGAATGAGAATGAGAAATGAGTTTAATATTCAATGAGCCAGCAACTACTGATTTCAGGGATATTTTATTATTCAAGGTGCCCAAAAGTTGATAACAGAAGAAACTGAGCAATTCAACTTTTAAGAGACTCAGAATGAGTGTTATAAACACTCTTACATATAAGGACATAACATTAAGGAAGAAGTGTGGAGTTCCAATGCTTACAATGAAAGCAGAACTAGCAAAAATCAACAATCTTACTAAACATATAGATCAAAGGTTGGCAATCCTGCCAAAGGAATTTACCAACATCCCAAGCCTAGGATCCTGGAAGCATGAAAAGAGTAGCATATTTTTTAAAATGCAACTATATATCAACTAGAAAAAAGTTGGAAAGCTGGCATCATGGATGTGATCATAATACAGGATTGGTATCAACTAAATACCACTTGGGGCACTCATGTCTTAGGTTGCCAAACGCCTTATTAATTTGCAATGACAGTATGGTCAAGGTGGACAGGTAAGCCATGCTCACAGGCAATGACAATATATCTGAAGTCGGAGGTGGCCCTGTACTTGCAGGGAGGTCTTGTGGACCCTCCTCGATGTACACAGTTGGTGACCTGAAATGGTGACTTGCTTATCCTAAACCTCCCCCCTGCATAGGGATTCCCAGCTTTATCTTCACAGACAGCCTTGATACTGGGGTAATCACCATGGATGAAGGTATTCATGTCCTTGCAGGGGTGGGTCAAACCTCTCTGTACCATGATCCTTTCACAGTAGTGGTCATCCCGGCCCTTTGGTTTGGAGTCATAGTGCTGAGTCAAGAAGTGTCTTTCCCTGCTATTTTCTTGTGTCAAAGAAGGTGAAACCAGCCAAAGTCCCAGGATGAAGAGCAGCCAAAGAGGGCCCATGCCCTTCAGAAACATCACCATCTCTCCAAATCAGATGTTCCTGCCAACCGCTAGAGGGTGAAGGATATGACAACCATTATAGGACATCCTTCTAAATGTAAATCAAATAGATAAGGAAATTTTGTTCCTTTTTTTTCTTGGTTTCTTTTTTGTCAAGGGAGCAAAACTCTATAACTTAAAAGTTCTCAACATGAGTCTGGAGTCACAAACTTTGATCCTTCCTCATTCCTAATCCCTTAACCACAGAACACTCACTAACCACCAGCATGTCGTGTCCACCAAGATAGCCAAAATAATTACATTAATATCTGTGAATGACAAAATAGATAAATTCAATAATAAATAAATTGATAAATAGGTAGATGATAAATAAGCAGATTTATAGGTTAGATTAGGTTAGTTTAGATTAGATTATTCCATAGAAAAGAAGTCTTACAAAAATTAGTCAATTTCCCTTACTAGAGAAGGGTTCCAGTTGTTTCTTCCCTGGTAGAGAGCTCTCAGGCACCTCCTCCCTCCCTTTGATTCTGATTATATAGTTTTCAGATAGACAAGGGGTGGGGATAATTGATTTGATAATTCCAACCTCTATTAGAAACAGAAAAACTAAGGGCATTTAATTTGTACAAATAAGAGAGAAGTCATTCACCTCTTTCTTGGGGGTGGTTGAGTGAAATATTAACCTGCCCAAAGTGATTTAGAGATTAGCCCTGAGAGCCAAAATCTGTTGAACATGGCCAACAGAGTCTTAGAATCTGGTCTATCTGCAGAAGCCACCTTAAATCTGTTGTCTTTAGAGATAGAGAGCCTTTCTAATAGGTCTTTATGTTTGAGGAGTGTGAAATATACAAATCTTTATGCTACTTTCCAGGCTGGCTACTTGACCTACGTGGTCACAGACCTTGAGGGTACTTGCATTCCCAAGAATGGAGGTTGAAGGTCTGTCTGCTTTAGATGCACATGACTATATTTCTAGTTGCTCTGAGCTTATCAAATAGCTATTGGCATGTAGTTAAAGAGTGTTTCATAGAGCAATTAAGTAACATACTTAATTGTAGAACCCAAGTTCTCTGATTCCTGATCCAGTGCCTTTATTACTTTCTTGATATTTACTAGCTCTATGATCATGAGTGGGTCACTTAACTCTTCTGAGCCTCACTTTTCTCATCTGTAAAATAGGGATAATGCTAGCACTACCTGCCTCTTAAGGTTGTGAGGAAAGCGCTTTGTAAACCTTAATGGACTATAGAAATATATTATTTACTATCCTATGGGTCTCTCCCTCCTTTTGTGGACCTTACTGGCCCCCACCCCCAACTTCTATCCAGATAGGGAAGAACAATAAAGCCTTATAAATTCAGAAGAGGGCTCTGATATATGGAGAGCATAAAAACTTCCATTTATTGCAACTCTGTTACAAAGATGCTACCACTATTGTTTTGTAGCAAAGAAAACATCTCATCATGTTAAACAATGTAAAAGAAAGGGCTTCAAAAAATATTGTGTGATACAAGGGTAAAAGATTATTATTAGTAAGAAGTTCTCTGAGCACATAATTGTTGCTGACATAGTAGAGGCTCTGAGAAATCCAGGAGTATCACTTGCTGGGGATTATTTGCTTACAACAGATAGGCAAACAACAACTAGATCTCTATTGTCTGTTAGACACATATCACAGTGTCAGTAATTATTTCTTGGGTAGAGACCCTAGCACTTTCTTTGTCATCGTCTTACTTTCTTCTTCTCCTCAATCTCCACTGATCCACAACACAGGTCTATCTACCATTTATGAAGAAGGATCAACTGTAAAGAAGCTGTCTATTATTCAGAAAGGACCACAAGGGATGGCATTCAAATTGATCTATTTTCTTTGTTTGTTTGTTTTTTAGGCAATTGGGGTTAAGTGACTTGCCCAGGGTCACACAGCCAGTAAGTATCAAGTGTTTGACCTGTGGCTGGATTTGAACTCAGGCCCTCCTGACTTCAGGGCCAGTGCTCTACCTGCTTACGCCACCTAGCTGCCCTGAATTAATCCATTTTCAAGAACTGTTGGGATTCTACCCTTGAGGAATATATGAAGAAATTATGGTGTGTGCATGCTAATGAGATTTTACTGAGCCAGTCTGCAACCTGAGAAAGACAAAACAGTAGAACAGAGATAAAGTGCCAATAATCAGGTAGCCATTTAATTAATTAGTTCCATTATAAGGAACAGATTTGCAAATCAGGAATTCTCCTGATCAGAATTCCACCTTGCTGAAGTGAAAACAGAGATTATATACATAAATCACAATGGGAAGGGAGGGGGGAAGGTGTATTACAAATAATTGTTTTCCCAACCACAGTGGTTTCACACTACCAGCCCACAAATCCACAATACAATTCTGGAGCCAAGTCTTTGGGGGTCATGACCACCCCATATACACCCACTCAGGGCACAGAACCAGAGTTCTGTGATGGAAATAGGATCTACACAGCCTTTGATTTGCTTCACTTACGGTACACAAGCAGTGATTGTGAGTATTGTTAAGGTTTGATTGATCATTTCAAGCTGCATGGTGAGCTTCTAACTCACAAGCTAGAAGAGACAATTCTTGAGATATCCAGTTATTAGTATATCTGTCACATACATGATATTAATTCGCTTCACAAGATGTAATGGAATGCTTTGTTCTGGCAGAAGTGATGAAAGAGGTGATTCCAAAAAACATTGGTATGCAGAGTAGAACCAACAGGACAATTTTTACAACAAAATTGAGAAGAAAAACAACTCTGAACAATTTAAAAACTGATCAAAACAATAACCAATGCTTCCCAAGGACCGATGGTGAAATATATTCCTAAAGTCCTGACAGAGAAGTGATATACTTGAGGTCTGGAAAGAGATGTACATTTTTGGATGTTGCCACTGTGTGGCTTTGGTTTGCTTAGCTAGTCGCATTTGTTTCAAGGTATTTTTTCCCCCTGTTTTCAGTGGAGAGAGGGGAAGGATGGGAATTCAAAAAGAACAAAAAGAAATGAGGAGAGCCCCTTAAATATTGTTTTGAGTGCAGAAGGAAGCATAAACAAAGCAGGACAGTTTTGAAAGTAATGGGTTGAGATTATTACATATTTCCTTTAAAAGCATGTAGCAGTGCTGACCAGTCTGTGGCCATGGGTGAGAAAGAGTGAGCATACAGGCCTGGTGACTGCAGTACCCTGCAGGAAACAAGAACATTGTTGAGACAGTGTGGCTAGAGACCTAACTGTGGCTTAGGGGAAGAGAGGAGGGTCTAAAGTTGAGCCTACTGGACAGAATTCAGAAAATAACAGTAAGGAGGACCTTAGGCCTGGGGCATCATTACCCACAATTTGGGATTAAAACCTGATTATAATGAGAAGCTGCTAAAAATAAACAATAAAAATAAAAATAAGTAAGCAAAAGAAAAAGAACCTGGCCATAGATAGCTACTATGGTGTAAAAGAAGACCTGGGTTCATATTCAGAGGAAGATAGTGAGTTTAAAAAAGAAAAAGCCACTTCTATTCCAAAGAATAGCATCAAATGGTCACGAGCCCAAAAAGAGTTCTTGGAACAACTTAAAAAGGAATTCAAAAATCAAATAAGAGATATTAAGGAAAAATAAGGGGGGGAAAGTAATCCAAGAAAATTATGAAAAGATTAACCGATTGGGAAAAGAGGTCCAAAATCTTAAGGAAGAAAATAACTCTTTGAAAACTAGAATTGGGGGGCAGCTAGGTGGCGCAGTGGATTGAGCAATGGCCTTGGATTCAGGAGGACCCGAGCTCAAATCCAGCCTCAGACACATAACACTTCCTAGTTGTGTGACCCTGGGCAAATCAGTTAACCCCAAATGCCTCACCAAAAAAGAAAACCACATGTTAATTTAAAAAGAAAAAGGAAAACTAGAATTGGACAAGGGGAATAGAATGACATTATAAAACACCCCAAAATGATAAAACTAGAAATAATAGAGGAGGAACTGAAACATCTCATTAGAAAAACAAATGATCTGGAGAACAGATCAAGGAGAGATAATGTAAGAATTGTTGTAATGTCTGAAAATTATTATAAAAAAGGATCTTGATATACTATTACAAGAAATTATTAAAGAACAGTGCCTTGAAATTTAGAACAAGAAGATAAAGTAGAAATAGGAAAAAAACTACCATTCACTACCTGAAAAAGATCCCAGGAAGAAAACTTACAGGAATGTCATGGCCAAATTTCAAAACTCTCAGGTTAAGGAGAAAATATTGCAACCAACAAGAAAAAAAAAACAATTTAAATACTGCAGAAATGCAATCAGGATTTCACAGCTTCTACACTAGAAGACCATAAATCTTGGAACATATTTCAAAGAGCAAAAAAGCTGGGGTTGCAACCAAGAATAACTTCCCCAGCAAAATTGAATATAATCCTGAATGGGGTAGGGGAGGGGAGAGAAGGACATTTAACAACCTGAAAGACTTTCAGATATTTGTGACAAAAAAACCACAACGGAACTAAATGAAAAGTTGATATAAAAGATCCAGAAGAAATATAAGGAAAACATTAAAGACTAATTATAAGGGACTCATTGAGATCAAACTGTTTACTTCTTATATATGAAAATGTTATCAATATTCTTAAGACTGTCATCATTACTAAGGTAGTTTGAAAGAAAGATTTGGTTTGAGTTAAGTATGATGGGGTGATTCTAAAAAAAACTGGGAAGGAAAAGGTAAAAAGGAGCAATTATCTTTTACAAATGGGAGATGAAAGGAAGAACTAACACAGAGGAAGTAGGTAGTGCTGGAACCTTACTCTAGATCTGGGTTAAAGAGGGAATAATATATACTTCTAAAAGGGTACAAAAGTCTTCTAAATTTATAAAGAAAAAAGAGGATTGGGGAACAGGATAAGGGAGGGACTTTTAGAAGGGTATGCAGATTAAGATTTAGAAAGTTGGCGGGGGGGAGGATAAAGGAGAGAATCTTAGAGGGTTGAGTAAAATGAGGAATGGGGGAGTTCAGGGAGCTGATAAGGTAATAGGGAGAGAGTAAAAAGA